AAAAGTATGCATCGCTTTTCTTTTTATTTTGTTCTCTTGCTGAGAAATTGTATTTTCTCTGGTGCTATAGCCATTTTAGACGGTATTCCGCAATTTTCGAACTGAATCAGAATTTTAGCCACAAAAAACTGAGTCAAATGAAGTGTCTTTCAACTCAATTTGACAACTTTCATTTTCTGATAGTTTTTTTTCAGGTATCGTCAGACGATTGCAATTTAGATATATGCGTTAAAAAATGAAAGTTGTCAAATTAAGCTGAAAGACACTTCATTTGACTTAGCTTTTTGTGCTAATTCTGAATCTGTATTTAGTTAAAATTCTGAATCAGTTCGAAAATTGCGGAATACCGTCTAAAATGGCTATAGCACCAGAGAAAATACAATTTCTCAGCAAGAGAACAAAATAAAAAGAAAAGCGATGCATACTTTTGTGACTGGTGGTATGACGAATCGAACGAGATAAAATATGTGACGTCATCACTTAACCAGAAAAACTAGATAGGTTTACAAGAATGACTCGTAACCATGCGAGGGCGAGGGACGAGGATGCCCATGACTAACAGCCCTTTTGAATCAGAACCGATCTAACGTCGTTTTTATACTCAGTTGTTAACGCTGACTCAGAAAAATATATTCTCATAAGCTGAAACAAAGAGTAAAGCAGAAAATTTCGCACATTTTTCCAAAACCACGCGTTTTCGAAAAAACGGTCTTCTTCACGTTTTTCGACTTTAAAGAACTTTTTTCAAAAGTTAACAAACACTTTTTCTTACTCAGCTCATCACGCTCTATCAAACTATATATAAAAAGATGAAAAAATTTCTTTTACTGAAAGTTCGGATTGCGGTCACCTTACTCAATTTAAACAATTTGTGTTGGGTACCTTGCATCCATTCTTTCATAACTTTAAGTGCCACAGTGATATTCTCGAAATTCATCAATAAATGTTTGCTGTGAATATGCATCAGCTGATTTGTCTTCAGTCAAGTAGTTTGTGTTTTACCTGCTTGGAATGCGGATGAAATCAAAAGAAAATAAGAAACTAAGCTAAAGACGGTATTTACTGAAAATACAAGACTTCTTTCTGACAGTAAACAATATTTGACGCTCCTTCAATTTTTGTCCCTCCAGCCAGAATAGCAGACTTATATATTTTATTATGACAACCTCTTTATACGGGTGAGTATATTTTAAGAATAGATGGCTTTCACTCGGGCCATATTCGAAACCGAATATTATAAGGATTAGACAGCGCGTTTACAAAAAGTTCTAGATGTTTGATAACTATCTCGAATGTTACCATTCGAGACCTGATTTGTAACGGATCAATGGAATATTTTACTTCAAAATTTTCTCTCCACTATTAGAAATGAATGTGACTTTTGTCATTTTTGTGTATAGTTGAGTAAAATTCACACAATTGTGTTCATTATTATTCTACAATTTATATTTTTATCCCAACAAATAAGAAAAAAACAGCAACAATAACAATCATATTAATGTGTTCAAAGTTTATTATTTTTATAATTTCGTTGAAGTGAAAACCGTTGGTAACATTGTATGCATGATATTATTTAATGTTTTGGGATACCAATGTATTCCATTTTCAATCCGATTAGTATTTATCAATTTCAATTGCTTTTTAATATTATATATCCATCTCAATGGTGCCAAAGAATAATGAGCTAATTGATGACTATGAACTGTTGAATAACATGATGAACTAATTTTGTTCACGATCATTGTTCCAACACTCGTTATAGGAGTCGAATAACCACGTTTTATTTTCAAATTTATCGATTCGATTTTTTCTTCACGTAATGCATTATCATGAAGTATATATAAAGTGTTGTTGAGCGTCAAATCTTTCGCTTGAATATAGCGATTATTTCCGATAAATATCAAATGTTCAGATGTCACAGAAAACTGATTGCCAAGCTCAGTTGTGATTGTATAGAATAATGCTAAAAACAGAGAAGATAACTGAAAACAAATCTGTAGCGCAACTATTCTTTTTCTTCGTTTCCTTTTATTTCTTCCATGCCTCACTGTAAGCATCCGCGAAGCTTTGGTAAATAATTTATACCTTGGCTATTATTTTCGTAATGTAAGATAGCAACAATATCCGATGATATTATATTTTGACTGTGATCAATTGCAAGCACTGAATCACCTGGTTTCAAATCACCGATTGGAATTTCGTATCCATACGTCGACAACGCAGCGTCGCTCGTTGAGAAGCAATTAGGTTTGGCTAAATATAAAACGAAACAACTTCATATAGGGAGTAAATTCCTAACCACTATACGTACCCACAAATGGACATTCTTCGCCCGGTTTTTCGTTTGTATTTACACAACATTTTTGTGATAATTCAATCAGTTCCGACAATGAACCACGAACAAACTGTTAAAAAGAGAAATACATGATGAGCAATTAACATCGCAAGGTAACACACACGTCTGACCTCTTCCCCGAAGCATCCTCTTGTTTTTGTTTTAACACATTCCATAAATCTCTCTGCCATCGCACAAAATACTTTAATGTTTCCTTTGGTTGCTTCAACCAATCCCACCGCGTCAATAGCCACACAACTTAAAAGTGTTACCGGATCAGCCTCCACCGGACAGTTAACTGTTGAGAGAGAAACATAACTTGCCACTGTTAAAATAATACTCACATGGATAAAGAACTAAAACAGACAAACGGCTTGTAAAGAATCTATTCTGTACTTCGTGTTACATACCATTGCCAAATTTCTCCTCTGAATCAAAGTATATTGTCTCTTATTAACAGAATAGTGAATGAACATCTCTCTCTTCTTATATAGTTATTTGAACAAGTGATGATCTAAAATTTGTTTTGTTGATTTTGTTGATCCATCTCTGTCTCAATCAT